CACCACCACCCTGTGAAATAATAATGATCTCTGAAAGATGTTTGAATTGGCTAGCTAGCAAGTCATGCTTTAATCATTTATTCAATAAAATAACAAGTACAGCCTAGCAAGCTACCTAGATTCATCTACACATACAATGATCAAAAGCAAAACCCTACTGCTACAACCATATGTACATAAAGCAAGAATGAGTGACACCATGTGGCACAAGATTGAAAAGAAAAATGCAATAGATAACAGTATTAGTGGATGAGATGAGGAGAATCTTTGAGAAAAAAGATATGCTAAAGCAGAAACCAAAGCATTCTATACTGTGAAGACCACAATGGTCTGCAGGAGCTTTAAGGCTCTGCCTCTCTGTTTCATGGAAGCTGGGCAATAAGGACAAAGAGCATATGGTTAAGAGATCTAGCGAGCAGATTATAATACTGGTGGTGGGCCAAATAAGAGAGGTCCCATGTTTGCTTGCATCATCGCTGCATAGATTAATTGTTCAGGAAAAAGTGTAGTCAATAGAAAGTGAAGAATTCACACAGCTCACATGGCCATTCCTTGGACTTTGATTCACTTTTGGATAAAGCGGTTGCGAGAGAGAACAAACCTTCTTTTGGTGGCGGCCTGTGGAGGGAACAATGGAGTAGTTGATGGCTTCATATATAACAGGGACTCACGTGCCTGCATAGGTTCTAACATTATTGATCCATCTCTTCTCTCTCTCTCTCTCTGTATATGCATATATTCTTAGGGTAAAGGGAGACCTTTTCATTATTTAGGTTTCGTTTGAGACTGCTTTTTTAGTGCTTCTTGAAGAAAACTGTTTCAAGAAACAGTAAAAAAAGCTGTCACAAGCGAAGCCTTGAACTGTAATATCTAGATCAGTTGAAGGCGACCTTCTCTAAATGAATCATTTTGCTTGTAGTAATAAGATGGAGTTTAATTAAATTAGGAATATTTCTTGGAAATTTTTTCTCTTGTTGCCATCATTTTTAGGTGTTTAATTATTTTGCATGTCTAGCTTCTATAAATGTCTAAGATGAATGAAAGTAAGAGTGTACAAGAACTTGTGATCACTTCGTTGGGGGAGTTTAGTTTTCAGTGGAGATGGAGTTCATGCACACATTAATAATTTTCAGACAAAATTATGATTAAATTTGAGAATAAATAAAAATAGAAGAACATAAATTTTCCTCTCCCATATTTTATGATGTTAATCACTCATCTAAAAGATGATAAGCACATATCATGTGTGGCTTACAGCGGAGAAATTATTCTGTATGGAATTTGGACGGAAAAAATCATCCGACTACGAGTGTACAAATATACTATGTGTAAAATTTTGATATATTATACACATTGTGTACACTCACATATCCGGACGGAAAGAACCGTCTAGACTCCGCACGTAATAATTTCTCTTATAATGAGGAGGTGTAGGATCAATAGAAGAGATATTTATTAAGTGCACTCAATAAGTGGGCTCCATCAAGTAGGTGCGTTAGCTCCAATGAGCAATTGCCACACTCAGAAACAAGTAAATATAGGTGAAGCAAAATTTGAAAAATAACCGTAGTAAGAAAACTCATGTCCTAAAATCTATTATTATGAAGAAAAAAAATAAAAGTTAGTACCAAATTTGGCAAGGATCAAGATATAATTTGAGCAGTGAAATTCAATAGTTTTAAATCACCTGGCCCATCTCTATTAATTAGATGTGGGGCGTTCATGTGAGGGGACACTTGATAGCCCGACCCCATCAGATGAGATAAATAGCTGCTACAGTCGCTTTAGTGAGCATTAGTGAAGCTTAGGGGTGTAAATGAGTGTAGTCAAGTCTGGTTTTGGCACTATCGAGTTTATCTTGACAGTCAGAAAGCGAGCTCTAACTCAAGCTCGAGCTCAAAAGACGAGCTAGAGCTCATCCCACACTCTCACTGTAACAAGCTCGAGCTGACTCACAAGCCTCTGCGGTCGTCCGCAAAACTTATCGCTTGTGAAACATCTGCCCGTGATTTGCTACCCACGAAAATTCCCGCCCGCAAGTTCCTACCCACGGAACTCCGGCTCCGTTTTCGAGCCGCTCGATGAGCTCACGAGTCAAGCGATGTGTTGTTCAAACTATAGCTTGAAATCTTGTTCGAGGTCGACTCGTCGAGCCTGTTAACGAGTCGAGTCCGAGCCGGCTTGCGAGTCAGCTTGATTTGGTTACACCCCGACCGAAGCTTCACATACATTAAAAAAAAACATTAATATATAGAGAAATTTTATGCTCAAAATACTGCTGTTGTGAAAAATTATGAGTGCCAAAGTTGTAAAATCTCGCAGTTCCTAAGCTTAATCTATTGTTTGCAGAATATATGAATGGTTTATTGGTTCTGCATGGAAAAGCCAGTCAATCCTTGGCTAAAACTCAACACTCTTACTCGTTGTTAATGGGCGAAATTAAAAATAATAACCATAATAAAATACTGAACTGTTAAGGGTATAATGAACGCAGTTCGAGAAAGAAAATAATAGTAAAGTCAGACATAAAATATCATTTTACAGCAAAGACAAACCTTGGTTGGAGTTGCGCTTGTTTTTTGGTCCTTAAACAAAGCGTACTCACTCAGCTTGAAACTTTTTTATTTTTGGAACAGGGTATCTACCCGCTCCACTCTCATAAAGGAGGAGTTTTGTGGAGTAACTAATTCCTCGGCGGGCTTAGCGGCAACCAGCCCCATAGGTGCCGGATCATGCACATTTTATCCCCTTAAGAAAATTATTCTGCGCGGACGCCGAACGCTGTCCGGAAACCAATCAAAATAAGTCATATCACCATTTTACTGTACCGCAATTCAGTACTGCTCGGTACCATGACGTAGAGCAGCATCCGACGTCCGCACATAATAATTCTCCACTTAAGAAATCGCGTTGCTAGAGAGGGAAATCTAACATGAGTTAGAAAATTTCCAACCACGCTTGCCCACGAACCCACTAAGCCTGGTGGGGGTAGTTTGAACCCCATTCAAAGTACATGACTTCAAACTGTAAATTTTCATGGGAAATTGGAATAGGTGCGTGAGCAATCACATCAAAGAGAAACTCTGCAATTTTCGCTAATTTTTAGATAGGGGCAGCGCAATTGAGACTGGCCAACTAGTCCAACTTGCAAGCATCTGCAATTATGTCAGTAAAAGAATCCTCCTGAAATTTGCTGGCATTTAGGCCCAAAAAGAAACAGTGAATTGAATGAGCTGATGTCATGTTTGTCTAGACCAATACATAAAATTCAGTGGGCAATTAAAAGCTATTAATGGTGATAGGGATTATCCCTCTTCTTGAATTAAATGATCTAAAATAAGTTTGTAACAAAAGATAATCATATCGGGTTCGAATCCCCTCTACGACGAGGGATTATTCTGTGAGGACACTAGACGGGTGAATCATCCTGTTCCTCGCTCAATACTGAGCGGTACTGAGCGCGGTATATTTTTTTAGGCGACATTACGCATTTTTATTGGTCTGTGAACGAATCCGGACCTGCAAGTAATAATTTTTCCTCTACGACGGCCTCGTCTCTTCAAAGATTAGAGAGAGTCGCCTTAAATGGTTTGGTCACATAAAACGGCGGCCTTTCGATGACCAGATTAGGAGAGGAGGTATTAGATATGACTTATGTTAAGAAAGGTAGAGGCAGACCTAAAAAAGCTTGGTTTAAAAATATTAGAAATGACCTTTCTTTATTAGATTTAAACGAGAATTTGACTTTTGATAGGACACAATGAGGAAAAGGATTCATGTAGCCGACCCCATGTAGTGGAATATAGGTTTGATGTTGTTGTTGTTTAACGGCCTCGTCTCTTCAATGGGGTAAAGTAAGTGTGGGTTAGGTTCCACAGGGATTAGTTGTGCTGGCAAGCACTCTATTTGGAGTGGCAGTGGATAGATACCCCGTTCCCCTCAAAAAAAAAAAAAAAAATAAATATATCAATTCCTCTTTTTGAAAAGAAGGCTGGACATCTCAAAGTTGGTGTTGGTGATTAATTAAGGGTGGTTAAAGTAATCCAACTCCTTCTCATAAAAGTAGGGGTAGTGAAAGTCAGAGGGCGACTAAAAGTAGTTGAGAGATACCTACTCTTGAAAGGAGAATGGAATGAATGAGTCCAAGTCAATAAGCTGTTGAAACTTAGGCAAAGGAGTAATGAAGTGTGCATTAACTGAGCTTGATAGTCATATGGGAAAATAGCAGGATGAGAAATATACTAAATGAACTTATTTTTAGGTATAGTCATTACAGCAGTATCAAGATGTTTATATTTCTAGCTTGGAGTATATATAAAGACAATAATGCCCTAGGTAGTTACATCACAACAGTAATTGTAGAAAGTGGTTACACAATACAGAAAGGTCGATAGTTTACAGTGGATTTACAACGAATTTTATGATAGATTATTTTTTGTCGAAAATGGCGACGAATTTGCGATGAAAATTTTCGACAATTTTCTTGCGGTGGAGCTAGGGCTGCAAACGAACCGAGCCGAGCCTAGTGTTCATGTTTGTGTTCATTTAATATCAGCTTGTTCAAGTTTGGTTCATGTTTGTTCGAGCTTTATTGTTTGTGTTCATGTTTGGTTCATTTAAATTAATGAGTGTTCATGTTCGGTTCTTGTTCAGTTCATGTTCGTTCATTTAGTGCTTATCGAGCTTTAAACAAACAAACATGAACGAGTTATAAACGAGCTCTACTTTTAGATGTTCATTAACTTAACAAATAAGCTTTATCGAGCTTCCTAACAAACGATTACATCGAGCATATTCGCGAACTTAATGTCGAGCTCTATTTATATTATTTATATTTATTAATTCAATAATCAAATATTACTAATTTTTATCAAGCTTATTCATGAGTTCAAAATTGAACACGAATTGAGCTTCTTATCGAGCTTAATGTCGAGCTTGTTCACGAACTTCAAATGATGTTGTTCGCGAACATAAATGAGCTGAACGCATTAGTGTTCAAGCTTGTTTATTTAAGAATCGAGTATTTAAAATATTGTTCAAGTTTGTTTGTTTAGTTAATTAAACGATCACAAACGAGCTTTAATCGAACCGAACAACGAATAGCTCGTCGAACGTTTGGTTCACTTGCAGCCCTAAGTGGAGCCAACTTGCGGCAAAAATTGTAGCCGCAAATCAGCCACAAGCAGCGTTATAATATAAATTAAAAAAAAAAATTCTTTTTTTTTTGTTTTGTCCCCGCGACTGAGTGGAGAAGGGAGTTGGTTTAAGAGTGGTGTAGGTTCGAATCCCGGTCATGATGGATATGGCATGGGCAGTCCGGTCGGATCTGGGCAACGGGTCAGGCCCGAAGAGGGCAACAGGCGGCCAATCAGGTGGGAGGGGCAGCAGTAGCCGATCAAACGGGCGAGGGCGACTGTCAGTCGGTCAAGCTCGGGCAGCGATCAGGCGTCAGCAGCGGATTTTATAAGCAACTTAAAATGATCGATGTAGGACCATCCATATTCTAAGAGGGACTCAATGAATTGAAGATAAATGGGGGATATAGGGTGGACTCTCTATTGAAATGTGGATTATTCAAATCTCTAAAAAATGGTTGGGGATAATGTAACCCAAAAATAACGGCTAAAATAGTGTCGGATGGATCTAAGAAAGATAGAAAATACCAATATACCTAACTTCTTGTTATTTTTTTTTACCTTAAGAATGATAAGCCCAAAATATAATATGATAAAAAAAAATATGCATTATGAAATTAGAACTTAGTGTAAATTTTAAGGAGCCAGACTCCTTAAATGTCATTGTGTACTTCCCTCATACTTTTAAGTCAAATTATTACCCCTCAGAAGTATTTGATTAGTATAAACACCGTAGATATTTTAAGTGTTTCTTTTGGTAAAATAATTTAGGCAAAATTTTCTCTTTAATGTAGGAGTGAGAGTTTGTTTAGGCTTTACTAAAGAGTTAGTTAGAATTTCAACTTGAAATGTCATTGGAATGTCATATATATATATATATATATATATATATATAAAACAAGCAATCATCTTTATAGGGTCAAATATTGCCACTTAAGATTAGCTTCTTGTTTATAAATTTGTGGGGAATGCATGATATATTGATGAGTTGAGAGTAATAAATCTACCTAAGTGTATGAAATCTCTTTTTGATTATGAATTAAGGTATTCTCCAAACCTATAAATATTCAAGAGACATTTACATATATAGTTTATTAAAGACATAAAACTTCAAAAGCAAATTCCATTTAGTCAATATTTCACTTTTAATAATTTGACTAAAAGGACAATTTAATAATATTTTATTTAAATGAAAATCACTGTTAATTAAAATGCAAGTATTCATTTAAATATGATTAGAACCTAATTTTTGTTAATGCTCTAATGATTCATAAGAGTAAAAAATATTATCTTGCTCTTATAATCAAACCTAAAGAATATGACATGAAAATATCTATTAATCACAATTTTCCTTTCGAAAATGTAGAAACTACTTTTTGCAAAGATGAGAGCCTCATGCAAAAGTTGTAACTATTATTCTTTTCTTTTATCTATTTTTCCTATTGTGAGAGCTTCACCATATTATGACTAAAGGCTTCTTTTAATATGGAATCAAAACTAGAAATATATGCAAAAGATCTCTCCTAAAAAACTAAAAAAATTCCCATGGATTTGTAGGCCCTCTACCATCTAATTTTTCATTTCTATACTTCTTTGTGATTGTAGGATATCAAATCCCTTAAAAGGCTTTATTTATAGCAGTAAAAACATAAATTCAAATACATGTAATTAATTATAATATTTTAAATTAAAATATTTCTTAAGCTACAATATATCTCCAAGTTCACAAAAAAATGTAATCATATATTAAAAAATATCAATCCAATGTTCTCAAATAAGAAAAAATTTAATTAGTAAAAATTTACGGAGATGTTTTCTATTCCATAATTTTAACAACCTTCCACTAGGAGATAAAATTATAATATTAGTGATTAGTGACTAAATGTTTAATGTGGCGCCTCCAAATTATTATTCATGAAATGTAAAAAAGTCTTTATAGAGCGTCAACATTTCTACTTATACCACTTTTGGGTGCATCTTAGCATGATTTACTAAAAAATTATAATCCACTAACAAGCCATTATAAAATAGCATATAGTGTCTGACATATCATAGCACGACACACGTAAGACATGCATTCGACACATCAAACACACCATCATTGTGTCCAATTAAAAAATGAGGGAAAAAAATAGCAAACTTGCATGTTTAACATGTCCAACACGCGTGCCCTTGATTGATTAAGTTTAAATATTTAAATTCCTAAATAATCTTGACCTACTTTTATTCCTTCAACCACTTCCCCTTCATGCAAGCATGTGCATCTAGCTTGCAACCCCCACAAGCAAATGTCATAGGACTCCAAAGCACTTATCGTGAAGGGAGAGAATATCAAAGATGGGAGGATGAGAACTAGAGTTGAGCAAGAAAGTGATAGGAGAGGTTCCTAAAACAAAAAGGATTTGAGAAAATAGAAAGAGAGAATTAGAGTAAATGAATAGAGAGATAACATGAAGGAGATAGAACACTTACGATAAAGAAGAAGATGATGATGTGTGTGCGTGTGTGTGTGAGAGAGAGAGAGAGAGAGAGAGAGAAATTATTAATAAAAAAGCAAATTGCTTAAAAAAAGGCAGATTGCTAAGATTGCCGCTAATAATAAATATACAGTAAAACTAGTTATAGTGTTACTCTGTTCAACAAACAACATAGTAACACGGAAAAAAAAAATAACAATATTCTCACTTATAAAAATTAAAGAAAATATTTTCGCTTACAAAAATTATTTTACCTTCACAATCTCAATTTCATAGTTGAGCTCATCTCTATCAATATAAACACATATAATAGGCAACCAAAAACATTCAAATTTAGCAAACATACCTCCTTATTTGCTAGGCATCTTCAAAAAGCTTAAAGTTGAGTGCACTTTATAGTCTTGATTGACTAGATATATTGCTAAATTTACTGCATCCATCTGAAAGGCTTCAAGAAGATGTGTGCAATGTCATTGCCTTGCATGTTCATTAAAAGTGTTATTCATCATATAAGCTACTTTATTTTGTTATGAAATTTATAGATTAGTTCTCTCCATATATATCTGATTTGACTGCAAACACTACTTTCATTGTCCACTAGTCTTTTACGCTGCATAAAAGTTGAGAATAGTCAGATTTGTTTTTGATTAAAAAAAAAACACACATTTTTATGTTGTCACCTATGAAGGTGGCATAGTGCAATGATATTGTCAAGAAAGGGATGAGGGCAACCCCTATGTACTTATAACCATCAACTCTAGTTATTTTATCTTTAATCATCTCATAAACTTGAAGAAACTAACATGCATGTGTTTGCATAAATACAATCTTTGCCAAAGGTAAATTTAACAATCTTCAAACTTAAAAGTGTACACTTTGCATGTAAAAACCTTTAGGCCTTTCTCACTCATATTGTCCACTTTTTTATGCTATAGATTTGAATGTCTCTACATCTTTGGAAACCCCAATTCCTATGCCAGTGGTGGCAAGGATAGTGGTTGTCTTAGTTCTCAAGAAATCACAAAGGCATATTTCATCACTTTTTAAGTATTAACTTTAAGAATGGCACGTCATTCTTCTATAGTTGCTTGTCCAACGGAGATCAAATTTCTCCTCAAATCAAGAATGTGTCTACCTTTGTTTAGTTTCCAAAGACTTTTCATATGTTATCTTAATTATCATTTTTTTTTATGACCGCAATATTTAAGTGTTCTTCTTCAACAATATATAATTTTTCCTACTTCTGCGTGATAATTTATCATTAATTTTTTATTTGAAATGAATGAAAAAATGCCCTTGAGTCTAATGTTTATGTTTCTATTGAATTATCTGCATTGAGTATCAATACATCACACATCCTAAATGTCTTCCATTGACTCTTCTTTTAGCTTTTCACTCAATCCATACTCTTCTTTTATATTTTATTTGAAAAGCATGAGTAGCACTGCCCAACTTAATATTCATAGAAGTCAAGTATCTTATGAATTAGTTGAACTCGTTTTGTTCAATGAGCAAAGTCCCTTCTAATAACTAAGACTGAAAAATTTGCACACTATATGTATATTATTGATTACAAAAACTTTCATGCATATTAAAGAGAGTCTTTATGATGTTTGACATACTTCTCTCATCAAAGATGTCAAAGGCGATCCTCATGATAAGGATTAGACGAATAATCCATATAGCGTATTTATCCATAAACTCTCTCTTCTCGATAGAGTGACGACTATAACTCTACTCCTTTCAATGACCAATGGAGTTTTACCCACTATAAATAACCATCTATCTCCAACTCCTAAAACTAGAAATTTTGTCTATCAAACAAAATGATTTTGATCTTTTCATTCTCCATACTATAATTTAAAGTCTTTATAGCCTGCAACTTTCAGAAAAACAATCAAATTAAAATGAAAAACAAACACACAAGAGGCCATGAATACAAGGAAGTTTGTGTTGATCAAACAAATTCAACTATACCCATGGCTAATAAAAATCAAATATTGATTAGACTTCAAAAAAAGGTACAATGATTTCTCTGCAAACAAATTTGATGATAATGATAAAATTACTATTTTATTTATATCATTGATTGAAAAGGAATGCCTGCTAGAAAGATGAGAGTTCCACATAAATGAGGCATTATTGTTGTTACTACTATTTTCAATTTCCTACTGCAAGAACCTCTCCTTACTATAGTAAAAATCTTCATATTTTGATGGAATAAAAACTATCATCTCCATTTCTTGTAGAAGCAAAATCCATACTATAAATATGCTCTAAAAGCAAACAAAACCCTCCCTTGGATTTCTTAGTTGGCAATCCACCTCCCCTTCTTTTTCCCTCCTGCTTATTTACTCATCATTATAGAATGTCAAACCACTCTTTCTATGTCACTATTTTAATGCATGAATTTAGAGACCTAAAATTAAGTACAAGATTTGCATAAAATCTCTTAAAATGAAGAAAATATCGCATAACTCATAAAAAGATTTAGGCTTCGTTTGAGATGACTATCGACTGTCTTATATTTTTTTAAAGTAGTTTTTTAGTACAAAAATTTTAATGTTTGTATTAAAAAATTATTTTAAGAAGTAATAAGAATGTCATCCCAAATGAAACGTTAATCATATCTTTGGATATCTTAATCCAATATTTACAATAACTAGGTGATCTCAATCATATTTTATAAAATTTTAATTTTAAAATATAAATAAAGACTCACAAAACAAGCAAATGCTAACCTCATGTCCTCTAAAGCCAAACAGAAGCTGAAAGAAATGGTAGATAGCCGACATAATCTATTGGAGAAAGAAAGTATGTATCCCTTGAAATATTTAAAGCATGCAACGTTGTATGAATTTTTAATAAAAACTACCAGCAGCATAGAGGGAACAGGCAACTCTAACAAAGATATTGTTTGAGATGGTTTTTTTTATTACTTCTTAAAACAGCTTTTCTAGTACCAAACTTTTAATTTTTTTACTAGAAAGCTGATTTAATAAGCAGCAAAAAAGTCGTCCAAAACGAACCTGAATCATTGGCATTTCATTCTTTGTCATCAGCAGCATGAAGCGATCCGAGGTGAACAGGTGCCTGAGTTCCCACCACCTTCGACGATCCATAAATAGAGAGATCAACACCATGAAACTTCTCCTTCTCGATTTGTTCTTTGATCCAAAAATAAGTGACCATTAACCCATCCTGAGGAAGATGAAGTTAAAACGCTAACAAAACTTGTTCAGGAATGAATATACAATAAAAAATGTAGAATATTATTAACGGACGCAAAACTTCAAAGTACCTTCAATCTCATTGTTGGAGCCCAACCGAGCTTCTCTTTGATCAAAGTATTGTCAGAATTGCGACCACGAACACCCTCTGGGCCAGGAATATGCCGTATAGGAAGCTTCTTGTTCTCAAAGCTTAGCACAATTCCAGCCATTTCATTCATATTCACCATTTCATCACTGCCGATGTTCGCTGGTTCCCGGAAATCAGACTTTGTTAACCTGAATGAATCCAAAGTTTGACATAAATGGCAAAAAGGAGGAAATTTTGTGCAGACGAAACACAAAGGCTGTGCTTGTTTTGGAGAAATTAAGCAGAAATGAAATATTTTTTCCCCTCATAACTGCTTCTTGGTTGTTTGGGTTGGATATACTTTATGGGAAATTGATTTTACTCGAGAATTAGAATACAAGCAAATTTCCCTTTATAATTTTCTTCCTAAACCCAGTGAAAAGCTGAAATAAAGCTAAAGTGTCTGACATTAAATTGTGTTCATCCTTCAATTTATTGGTTATTTCTTCAAACCAAACAAAAAAAGTAGATATTTTTCCACACAATTTATCCCCAGACTAATGAGTGGGTGAAAAATATTTTCAATTCAATTTTTTCACCATTTTCATATTCACTCCCTCTATTTTAATCCCTTCAAACCAGAAGTCTAAAAGCATGAAAATGAATTAGCTATTTAACTAATGAATGGCAGCTTATACAACAGTAAGATATTGTCCTTCATGTGAATAAATCTATCAAAAAAGCTCCATTTTAAGAAGTAAATGAATTAAGAGGATTATAGAGAGGATGTAAACTTGTATTGTAATCAACTGGGTGAATAAATTAATTTAGATATATGTTTGTAATTGTAAATTTCAAGTTGTAATTTTTCATTCTAATAATAAATTTGAGTTTCATTTTGTTAATTGTTCTATTTTTAAAAATATTGATATATAAGTTTTTATATATTTATGTATGTGTATAATTGACTTTTTAAAGTATTTAAAGCTTAAAATCTAATTTCATTCAGCCAAATAAGCCAAACAAGCCTAAAAAAATGAAGCACAAACATAAAGTTTTTGACATAACTGACCATGAGTAGAATTTAAACAAAACAAAAATGAAATGAGCCAGACTCGAACACATGACAAGCATGCTTCCAGCTCGGCTCATTTAAACCCCTAGATGTGAAGCATGATGCTAACAACTACCTTAAGTACACCTTCGACGCATTCATCAATGAAAGTGAAAGATCTTGTTTGCAGTCCATCTCCCCACATTTCAAATTTATCATTAGAGGTAATCGCCTTCCTACAAAAAGCAGCAGGGGCTTTCCTCCCTCCCACCTATTGCTCATGAAAAGAAAAACCTTCAGATTCAAAGAATGTACCAATGATATAATATTGGAGAAGTGCATAAACTCACATTTACCTTTTCATGTTCCAAAGGGGCCATAAATATTGTGGAACCGACCAATTCTGCATTCAATGTCAAAGTCTTTAGTGTAGTGCTTACACAACTCTTCTGTTGCCAGTTTCTCCAAACCATAAGCATCTTGAGGCTATACAAACAAGTCATATTCCCCAGTGTATTTAATTAGCAACCCTAATCTTGCATAACCCTGAAGAACTTGATGGGTTCAAGATGTTAGCAACAAACAAACCTCTGCAGGCCAAGCATCAGATTCCTTCAAGCTAACATTAGTGTCCAGCTGCTTGAATTCAGGATATATGCAAGCACTAGAAGCATAAAAAAATCTGCAGTTCGCGATCTCAAACATAATTATTTAGTTACTATAAATCACCTAAACTGAAAAATAATATCTGGAAAGAAAGAGTATATGCATGCGCTTCATTAGAAGGCCAAATGGCAATAGGTATCACATATAATACTAACGTAGACATATTATTTTGGAGAGTATTCAAAACTTCGCCATCAAAACTTCGCCATCTTAAAGTGAAAGAGTAATTACGATTGGTTCAAATAATACCAACATATTACAACATTAGAGTCACTTAATTGCATAGTTATCTACAGGGATTACTTGGGTGTGCATGCACACGTGCAGGCCATTGTATATGGCAGAACTCAGTTGCCTTAACATCATTTCTTTTCAAAAGCAAATTCAAATGGCTCATGCCCTATACATCATTGCCTAAAATTTAGTTTTCATTTTCATTAAAATGCTTGGTTGTGTCACGTTATAAATACTTGCATCAAATAACTAGCAACAGAATGCCTTACTGTTGGCAAATGGACCTGAGCGTTGGCACGTGTTTAAAAGACATTTGTGTGGGCTCCGAAAAATTCCATTTTATTGATGTTGTGATCCCGACCTCTTCGCGCCATCGGTCTATTTTTCTTTTAAGTGTTTGTGTGACGATGATGGCAGAGAGTTTTAATGAGATTAGGTTCCGGGAGAATTTTCAGAAGGCAGATTGGGTTTTAGATAAGACACTACCCAGAGATTTCGCCCTCATTTTGTGAGAACTTTTTGATATGAGTTCTAGTTTCTTATAGGCGCAAACCCCTTTAGTTAATTACCCCTCCCGATAACAGTAGAGAACTTTCGATTAAGGCTAGTCGTTAAGGAGGTCAAATAGGTTATAAACTCATCGTATAATAGCAATAGTTTTAGGGTTTGAATCTTGGATTTAAATTTTAAAGTTTGGAATTTTAAGTTTATCATCATAAACTTAAAACTGGTGGTGGGGGGAATGAAGACGAGCCCGATCAAGATCCCATGGTTTCGTCGTCCTGGGTTGTAGTGTTCCCTGGTCTACTTAGTCAGAGGAGGTAGTCGACCCAACCTAATAGAAGGTACCTTATCGGCAGCCATGGGTTGCTTCGTCCAAGAATACCTTGTAGACCTGGGTTGGCATTTGAATACACCTTGGCTGATAGAGGGCTTTATGCCTATCGAATATACCCTATGATTCATAACTCAAGGGTTTGACGCCGTTAGGGAACATACGAACTTTCATCGTGATCGTAATATAATTGTGCCATTTTGCGGCAAAACCACCCGATCAGAGGGCACGTGCCACGTCCCTACTGGCAAGAGACTATTTGAGTATGAATCGTAGTAATACACCCGACATGCATTCGCTCTTTGTGAGCTGAGGTTAATTTCAAATTTATCACCCCCGACAAATGGTTGCGGGAGGGAGATGATTTTTAGTTTTAAGTTTTTAGGTGATAGATTTTATTTCAAAAATTTGGGCTTTTGTTTGATTTGAGATTTGACCCCTCCGGTTGAGATTTTCTGTCAACACGTCCATCATCAGGGTGACATTAAGGTCACTTGTATTTTTGTAGGATTTTGGGAGGCATTTTGTAATTCAAGTTGTGTCGACTCCAGTCATTTCGAGGAGGAGCATGAAACTTGAATACTTGACCCGCGCATCATTCTTGAATCGTTGGATTTGAGATTCATATATGACGATCAGAGCACATGCAGATTATATTTATTTTGAAAATAGAATGTTACATTAATAAACATTTGACTCTGCACAGCATTCTCGGACAATGGTGTTTGTAATTTTAATGCATTGATCGGAGCGCATACAGGGTGTTTATTTAGTTCAAGGGATCATATTTAATACATAAGGGGGGATTTTAAAATATTTAAATATGATCCATTTGCGCAAGTGATTTTGTTTAGAAATGCCCAATATTTCTTTTAAGGGCCTACGAACGCCTTCTGTCCGCTTGTATACATGTTGCGGATCCGGTGGCATCGGGAGGATTTGTAGTATTCATTACAATAGGTTTATACATATTTGTAGACATCACTAGTGTTATCGTCAATCGGATATTTGCATTTCAAAATGCTTCCCCAATTGTTATTTAGGAACATATCTTGCTCAACGTTGAAAGTGACCTATCAAGGTCCAAAGAACTCTCATATTACGGCTTTAAAATCAAACTATAAATCCAAAATAAGTTTTTTTGTTTCTTGCAAATGAGTTATAATTACAAATCATTTGTCTTCAAGGATAGTTCAATGTTTATGATGGGTTTAATATCATTGCTCATTCATATTTCAATTGATATAATCATCTTTTAGCCTTCATTAGAGATTTAGTAGCATGACTTAAGTCAATCCCTTATTGATTATTCATTTGTTAAAATTTAGGTTCCATTCGAGCTTGAGTCCTTTCCATTTGATTCAGATCAAGTTCAACTATAAGTCTTCATTGATCATTCAAGTCAAGTTCCTTACATTCATGTTGAGTGCAAGTCTGGTTTGATTTTGAGTTTGAGTTAAAGTCCAACATTATTCGATAAAATTTTAATTTAAAATTGATTTTATGTTTAAATTATGATCAGATCAAATTTAAATTTTTTGTCCAAGTCCCATGTTGTTCAATGAACATTTCGACAACCTTCCGGCGTCTCCTCCCCGACGCCGGGAGGTAAGGAATGACTCGACTCGACCGGAGCGAATCAACGGCGAGGAGATTGGATCTTCAGAAGCTTTGATGATCACCAGTTGCAGATTGAATGGTTGCCAATGCTTGGATGGAGATCGTAGTTGATTGTCGATGCTCGATTGGAGATCCCTTTTTCTTATTTTAATTCATCAAATAATTAATATTATAATTATTTTCAAATTGAATGGTCATTTGAGCATTTTTTTCAATTTTCTCAAAAAATTTTCTAAGTCCAAAATTTTTTAGAAAATTCCGACAACCTTCCAGCGTCCCCTCCCCGGCGCCGGGAGGTAAGGAGGGCATTTGCCCTTTCAAGATAGCCTGGCCGGAGTGAATCGACGGCCAGGGTCTTCAAGATGCCGTCGGGTCCTGGATTTTGTGTTATGAAGCTCCAATTAATGATGATTGATTGCAAATAATTGGGTGCCGGTTGCTTGTCAAAATTTGGCTAAGTCCCGAAATTTCGGCAGCCTCCCGACTTCCCCTCCCTGACGCCGGGAGGTAAGGAGTGGCTCGACTCGGCCGGAGCGAATCGACGGTGAGGAGATTGGGCCTTCAAAAGCTCCACTTGACAACGATTGTTGATTGCTGGTTGTTGGAGACTTGTTGCAAGTTCCCTGTTTGAAAAATCCTCTCATTTCTCTCCATCTCTATCTCTCTCTTTTTTTCTTTTATTTTATTACATATAAAATCTTATATTATAATAATATATAATATTATATATATAATTTAATATATGATATAATATTATATATATAAGATATAATATATATAATATATATAACTTAACATTATATATATTATATTATAATAATATAATTTATATTATATAATATAGAGGCGACGGCGGTTGGAGTCATGCGACAGAGTCGATGTCGAGTGCAGGAGATCGGGAGCCCTGAGGTAAGTCAGGAATCCTTTTTTTTCTTTCTCTCTGTGCGATTTTTGTGTGTGTCAGAGAACAGAATGAGAGAGGGTTTCATTTTGGTATCGTGAGAGGGAGATGGTTTGAGCGGTTGTGTTCGATAGTGGGTGGTTTCATGGGGGGAGGGTTGCTAACTAGCCGACGGTTAGAGGTCAACAATTTGTTCACCAAGATCCATTACCATTAAAATCCAAGCATATTAATACTTCTAAATAATGGAAAAAAAAATTCTCGCAATGGAATTTTTTATTTTATAGAAATGCATAATGTATAGTAATGCATCTGAAAGACTTGAATCATCATCATCATTAGTAGCCTTATTCTAACTATTTGGGGTCAACTTTATAAATCTTGCTTTCAATTCTTGCGCTTCACTAACAGCATCTATCAATGTTCCATTTTAAGTCTACAATTTTTTCTTCCTAACCCTTCGACACAAATTTTCTAAACAACCTAATTGGTGCATTTTCTATAATTCTAGCCTTTGCAATAGTTAATAAGAAAAAATTATATAAGAAAAGAAATAGCCTTTGAAACAAAAAAAAAATTATTTTCAACTATCTTATCTTTAAGAGATGCCTAGTCCAATCATCCATATAATATAACCACTCTTTAATTTATCATTCCTAATTGTATCATATATCTATCTTTCCATTATCATTATCGTGACTTAGCTATAAATGACCATTTAACTGCCAACACTCAAACCCGTACACATTATCCGATACATTCCAATTTTATAAATTTAATTGTCTCCATTATTTTGTCATATTTGTACCCATAAAGAACCTATTTATTTTATCAGTCATACTTAACTATCGAAGTTATACCTTTGTCTATATTCATATTCCTATATAATATATGCAAGATATTTAAATTTATCACACTTATGTATCACTTTATTTGCAATAATGTAAACTAAAAATTATCGATATCGCACTTACAAAGTTAAATATCATATATTATCTTTATTCTACTAATTATAAGTCATCTATTTGGGCTTCAAAAATTCACGCCCCGGCCTCCCCTACTTTCGGGGAATTTTTAACGAATTAAGTTCCGGGGTAAATTTTAGGATGGCATATTAGATTTGTAAATAAGAAACTACCCAGAGATTTCGCCCTCATTTCGCGAGAACTTTATGATATGAGTTCTGGTTTCCTATAGGCGCAAGCTCCTATAGTTAATTACCCCTCCCGATAGCGAGAGAGAACTTTCGATTAAGGCTAGTCGTCAAACATATGCATATAAATATGTGTTATTTGGCATATAGTAGCAACATGGGTTTGGTATTTGAGAATTTGATATTTAAAATTTGAAAAATTCACAATCTTGCACTTAAAGTGGATGGTAGGGGAATGGATGATGGACCCGATCAAGATCTCATGGTTACGCTATCCCGAGCAATCGTGGTCCCTAGGTCTACTTAGTCAAAGGAGGTAATCAACCCAACCTAAGATCTGACATTGTGACGCTATCAGGCATACTATAGTCAGAGCATTGAGCACCACGGCGTTCCAAACTGGCACTGCATCACTGTGAGGCCGGCTAAAATTTTTCTTAAGCTTGGTGTCCCTTCGTGGTTGTATCTCTTTGTTTGTTCTTGTGTAAGAATAGTGTAAGAGAGAGAGAGAGATAATAGAGATTTGAACAAATTTCTTCCAATTTTCATAGTTTTCTTGGTATGATGTGGCTCCGTGGTTGTTTTCTGGTTTCGAGTTTTTCCACATTAAAGCCTAGTGTTCTTTACTTTCCACTACTTTTTTTTGTTTAGTTATGTGGTTTACTTCCACCCCAAACAACGAGCTTGGGCATCCCTCTTTCAAAACCTTAACTATTTGTTTTATCCTATTTTTGTGAATGTAAACATTAAAAACTTCTACCATAAAACTTGTGAAATTGTAAAACATCATAGAGTTTCGTTTTTTAAGCAAATCTAAATCATCTAATCCATCTATGCAGGGGTGTAAAAAGAGTTGAATTGTGCAAAAGTCATGCCTAACTCGAGCTCAGCTCACTAACCAAATTATGAGCTCAAATTCGAGCTCGAGCTTGAGTCAAGCTCAAAGAGCGTGCTCGAGCTCTGCTCATGGCAATAAAGGTGGGCCTACAAGCCAACTCATTAGATTGCCACAAAAACGTAGGACAAACAAGTGGTGATCATTGTCGAACGTACAAGTGGCGATCAGCCGATAAGAAGAATAATAACAATTTTTTTGCTGCAACTTTTTCTCCGAAGAAGAAGATGGCTTGTATTTAATGAAAGCTATATATATATATTGGGTAAACAGTGAAAAGTCTAATTAAATTTTGCCAAAAAAAAACTCCTAACAATTATAACGAGCCAACTCCCGACGAGTTGAGCCTCGTCAAGCTTGAACTTGAGCTCGTTTAACAAACGAGCTCAAGTTTAAGCTCAAGCACGCGGCTCGATAAGCTCGGCTCGTGAGTTCATTACTGAGTTGCGTTTGAGTTGCTCGGCTCATTTACACCCCTACATCTCTGTTAATTCACTCAACAAATAGCTAAGGGCTCTCAAAAATCTCTAACATTCTGGTGCTACAGGATTTGCCGTTTCTATTGATGATTACACTATAATAATATGATTATATCTTATCAAGCAAAAATCTCATGTCAATTTTATCTTTCTTATTTCTATTGCTAATGATAAAAAAACAATTCGCTAACATCAAGAAGTTTTTTACTAATAATATATGTGATTAGTTTAATCAAAATTATACCTTATTTTCCCAATAACGTATTATTCATCAATTCTCCTATCAAACTCTCAATAAAATGGGGTGGGAGGGAGAAAAAATTAACACCATTACTAATTCATCAATACTCTTCTCTTCCAATATTAAGTTCCAAAAGAATATTAGAGAGGTTGTCCTAACCTATAAATATCTAATCAATAGAATACCCTCAACAGTGATTGGCTTCAGAAGTCCCATGAACAATCTTAATGAATTATCCACGAATAATTTTCTCACAAAGCTTCCTCCAAAAACTTTTAACTATGTTGCTTATATTCACATGCACTAACAAGGACGAGGTAAGCTTGATTCTAAAGCACACAAGTGTAATTTTTAGGGTATTTCTCCATTCAAAAAAATTTCAAAATTGCTATAAATATTATCATCCGACCACCAAAAGACTATTCACCTCAAAAGATGTCACCTTCGATGAAAAAAATTCTTCCCTTAAAATTATATTCAAGAAAAAATAAACATCTGGAAGATAAATTTGATAAAAGTATAATTTCCCTCATAACTTTCCAGTCACACATATTCACATCACTAAATCTCTTTAGGTATATAGGAGGATAAAGCCCAGTTAAAATCTCCAACAAACTTAAAACCCCGAATTGTCATCAACACATCATCCTCTTTACCCTATAACCTAATGCAAATTCTTACAAAAAATTTCTTCCACACATAAAACCTTCCATACAAATATTAACTCCAACTCAATTAAAATTCTTCAAATTCTATTTAAGGGTACCAGAAAATAAGAATGGAAAGGATGCGATAAAAAAAGAGATGAATGCCCTAAAAAAATCACACTTGAGAGATCATTGAGATAGAAAAAAGAAATTAGCCATGTAATATAAATGGATTTCTTCATTCGAAAATAAGGCGGATAGAAGCCTGGAACAGCACAAAACAAGTTTGGTAGCCAAAGGATATACTCAATCCTATGGACTTGAAAATAAAGAAACTTTTGCTCTTATTACAAAAATAAATACAATTCACATCCTGATTTATGTAGCTGTTAAGCTCGGATGGTCCACAAAACAATAAGTCAGGAAGAATGCTTTCTTAAATAGAGATGTCAAAGAAGTCTATATAGATCCTCTACTTAAAATAAGATGTGCAAATTTGAAAAGGTATTATATATTCTTAAGCAATTCCCAAGAGCATGATTTGGAAAATTTACAAAAGTCATAAATGGAGTAGGATATAAACAAAGCTAAGGAAATCATACAATTTTCACAAAACACTCCACTGATGAAAATGTTTCAATTCTTATTATATATGTTCATGATAGAATTGTTACAGTTGTGACAAAAAGGAAGAAGAACCACTCAGAAAAGAAAAAACTCGCTAAAGAACTTTAAATCAAAGAATTAGTCAAACTCAAATATTTCCTAGGTATAGAGGTTGCTAATTTAGAAAAAGAAATTCTTATCTCTCAATGAAACTATGCTATGGATCTATTGAGGGAAATAAAAATGACAAATTATATGAAACTCCAACATGGGTGTATGAATGTAAATATATATTCAACCGATTGCAGCTTTTAAATGTGCACTGATCTGATATATCTAAGCATCTTGTCCCTCATTTATATGCTGACTATTCCTTCCATCTACTTTGATTAAATTAAAAATAATTTGAAAGCATCTTAGTAGTTCATTAGGGACTAATTGATGTTTTGTTCTTTATGCGTGCACACACACACATACAAAACATCACTTTTTAATCAAAAGGTTACAATAACATAAAATATATTTGCTAAAATTACAAGAAATATATGAAAGCATACAAACCTTTTTACTCCATTTATCCTGGCAGCTTCAAGCATACAAACCATTCATTAGGGACTAACTGAATAAACATAAAAGGCCATTCCTCCCAATATCAGCAGCAAGATTAAACACATGGTTCGCACCACTAGTAACCCCCAAGCAGTTCTCCATGACCCTCAAATAACGAGATGGAACTCATGACAGAACGTATCCTCTGTCATATGTTCATTCTTCTTCCAGTCAGAGGCAATTATATAGTGACCTTCAATCTTTAAACGCCTAGCAATGTGAGAGCCTATGAAACCTCCAGCTCCAGTGACAGAAATTCGTAACTTCTCAGTAGGCCAGTATGGTTCTCGCTCCAAATTTGTGTAAGTGTATTCACCATAGCTATTTCCATCATTTGAATAGCTACCCATTCTGCTTATAAGCATATATGATGTCAGTGGTTTTGGTAGTGAAGGTATGTTTCAGTTCACTACATTAAGGTGCAGCAAGAGCTACCAGTAATACCAATCAAGTCAAAGATCTATTTAACTAAAATTTACCAAATTTCTAATAATTAAAAACATACTAGTTGTGAAGAAAATGGGGTTCAACCTAAAAATGAGCTCATCTTTTGTTCAGGAAATTCCGCAGAGCACAGTATGTTGACTCTGGATCAAATCCAAAAGAGCAAAAAGAGAAAACAAAAAAAAAAATCCAACTGCATACCTATAAAGCCCGCCCCTCCTCCCCCCCTGATCCCCAAAATCTGCCTGATAATCCTCCGTAATCCTGTTGATCTGGCGCCGTCTGCGTCGTTTCTTCCGTGAAATCTGCCGAAAATATCCTCCGACGTTGCCTCATCGAACGATGCTCGCCGTCTTGTTAAATACCGCACCTAAACGCGAGGCTCTCGGCTCTCTCCCATTCGCAAGTTCCACAACTCTTTCTCCCCACATCGACGTGATCTCCTCCCCCTCTCACGTATCGAAAGTAAAGAAGAGGAGCTTTCGCTTGACACGTATGAAGGATAACTTTCTCGCTTTCGGAGCCCACTTCAGCTTCCATATAAGAGTCGCTATAACGTATGAGCGGTTTCTGTAATCCCCGGGCGTGGTGCAGGGCTGCGCAGCTACTCTCACGATCCCCCTTTCGGTGTCCGATTGGAGTTTTACGACATTTTTGATCGGAAGCAACCAGCTGGAGATGTGATTGCTGTGAAGGTAAACTTGTTCCCCTTTCAAGCACTCTTCGCTTGGATCCCATTAAACTAGAGGCGGGCTGAGAGTGGAAAAGCAATGATTTCAAGCTATTGAGAGTTAATTAAATCTCATTCAAATGAGATATAGCTTAAATCCTGTTCAATTCCTATATAAATTTATTGAATATAATTTAATTAAACTTAATTTTTGATTATAAATGTATTATTTTTAATATGTTAATTATCATTAATTATAAATTAGATTTAGTTGAATTAGATTTAATGATGATCATTATATTTAATATAATATTTAATTTATTAATTCATAATAATTAAATGTTAATTTATGATTAATTTTCAATTATAATTAATTTGGTTATAAAATCAAACATTAATTTAATAGTTAATCAAATCTATTATAATTAATTTATAATGTAGATATGTTAATCATAATTAAATGTGACTAATTAATTTAATATTAATTAATTTTAAAAAAAGGTGCTTGCCTTTCCTGCCCACTCTCCTTTCTCGATGGTCGTGTCGGACCGGCAAACCACCTAAGCACGTCTTAGTGGCCGTGGTAGGAGGACCTGGTGCCGGATCACCTACGACGACCAGAGGGTACGAAGTGGAATCCCCTCGATCACGTGTCAACTCACTACAACCCCAGCGAAGTATGAACGTTTCTCTAGACTAAAAGCATTACTTCATATCGTGCAAACTGGAGAACTGTCCTAAGCACCGCCTTTTATGGCCGTGGTGGATGAACCCCTGTGACGAGCACGTACTGACGAAGCGGGTCACTATTATAATACCGCCGGGCGGGGAGGAAATCATAATCTGTTTCATCAATAAATACGTTTTTAAATACCCCAAGCACGGCCTTTGCCAGTCGCGGTGGGGCCCTGGAGGAAAAACGAAAAATGACAACTGCCGCGGTGAGCACCAGGCACACCAACCCGTGCACTGGGGTCCTTTATTTGACGCGGGGGTAGGGGTCTCTTGGATTTTTCCCCTAAAACGGGGGAGACGCGGGAGGCCTTCGAAATTTTGTCTGAAATACAGACAGGACTTGGAGCAGAATGAATTTTTGACTTACTAATCTACTTAAGTCAAACTTGAACCCAGATTAAATTCAATTCTAGGAATGAATATTGAAGCTTGGACTCGCAAGGTTGAGCCAAAATCTTGGTGGACATACATTTTTTTGAACTTGAGTTAACAAGCCTCACTGTAAACTTATAAACTTGTGTTTGAAACCAAATGAGACTTAGACTTGTCGTTAATGAACAAACGAAAAATGAATTTGGTTACAGAAAGGACAAGAACTGAACCAAATAAGATTACCAGATGCGACTTTGAGACATCAATGATTCAAACTCAAATGTGGACTGATACTAGCAAGAGACTTAATCAAAATAGGCTTTAAATTCGAATCAAATGGTGAAACTTGTAATGCTTGAACTGTGTTTTGAAACACGATCTGAACTCAATATGACTAAGTCAAAGTGAACTCAAACTGTATAGATATGAAACTTTGAGCTGTATTATGTTGAATTCGGACTTGACTCTACAAGACAACAGGACTACACTCGAACTTTTGATTTGAAACTGTTGAACATAAATTGGGACAGTACAAACCATGATTGAACTTGACTCCAAGCTTAAACAACAAGAAGCCTGAACTTGAAAGTGATACAAGGGAGCTTGAACCATTTTGGACTCAAACTCAAATGAGAAGTAGAAGATTTCATATTGAAGCCAAACTCGGAGCATTCAATCAAATCGATCTGCAAACAATAAAATATGTTCCTACAAGCTGTGATAGGTCCCATTTGAGCAGTTGAATACACAATCAACATCAATGCTCACAGACTAATATATTAACTGTTTTGTTAAGTTAACAATTTACTCACAACATACGAAATGATTATGGGATACTCTCATAGTCAAGCCAATCAAGTATCCAATGAATACACGAAATTTGCCTACAATCAAGAGAGTTGACAAGTGACATTGATGAGATCCAAGCACCGCAAGCATACGATAGGCATAAGCAAATACATCAACCCCTTGTGAGTCCAGAAGGATTTAACATGGATATAATGTCAAAGCGCCCTGAAAGAAGTGTAGAATATTTATGCGACTTGATATTCTGTATAAACAAGACTATTATCCTGCTATATGAACAAAATACCCTACAACACCTACAATTATCATATAAAAAAGAGGGTGAATGTTACTATCAACTACGATTCTCAAAAAGATCTGCATTATACATACAATCCCTCAACAAATTACAGATGTATGTGGTGATAATCATGCCACCCGAGGTAGGGTGTCAATATTTTACACGACCCGAAAACCCGACCCCGGACCCGACCCGAAAAAACCGGGGATTGAACCCGACACCCTTTGATAAACGGCGCCTCGTGGATTCGGGTTCACAAGATATCGACCCGTTTATCAAACCGGTCGGTTCGGGTTACCGGCGGGATGCCTTGGTCAACCCGCGAACCCATTTATTTTAAAAAAAATAATAAATTTGATCGGCCTGCCCCGGTTGCCGCTCTGCCCGCACCGCTTGCGCCTGCACCTCCGCTCTGTTCGCCGCGTGCCGCCTCGCGAGCCTACCCGGCTCGCCGCCCCGCGTGCCGCTGACGCCCAACGTGGGCTCGCTGCCGCGCCGCTGTGTCGCGTGACGCCCGCTGCCCCGCCGCTGCCCTGCACTGCGTGCCGTGCCGCCCGCGCTGCCCTCTGCCGCGTGCCGTGCTACCCGCCGTCCCCTACCGCTGCCTCCAACGCCGGTCGCCGTCGCCGCTAGACCATTGCCAACCGCCCGCGCCGAGCACAAGCCGGTTCGCCGCGGTGCACGATTCCCAAATCCGAACCCGGCTGCTGCACCCACTTCAGCCCGGTCGCGGGCAGTCGAGGTCAACTCGGCAACCCGGGCCGGGTCGGGTTCGCGGGGTTGAAAATGCCGACCCGTTTTTGCAACGGGCGGTATTCGGGTTGACCCGAATTGCACCCCTAACCAGGGGCTTAATGCAGAAGACTTTTCAGTAAATGCACGTATCCTGAGTCAATTTTCAGGTTCTATGAAGAAAATTACACCAATCCTATCTGCGATGGAATGCGAGTAGTAGCGGGTAGTTGTACATGAAAGGATAAAAAATCATAATGCAAGAAGAATAACAACAAGTGCGACTTAACGACCCTAAAGCAAAAATTAGTTAGTGCACTATGACCCGCCAACAAAAATCAACAAAATAGTGCAAACGACAGTGTCTATGTATGAAGCATATGCGAACAATTCTAATCCAGAGTATTGGGCCACGCCACTAGCCAACCGGATCATTGCACATTCGTACAAACAGACAGAAGGCGTCTATATTCCGGTAAGAGTACCCCTGCACTGCACTAAAATGTAACACATCATAGTTCACTATAAAGGGGAAAAACCAATTATTAAAGACCCGAATGAGCCCGCTAACGCGCGCAAGGTGTTATTGGTACAACGTAATGTCTAGGGATGCTCGCGGTTTACAAAGGAATTCTAGTTCAAGCACCCGCTCCTCCTATACGGAGATCAAAAGGAGTCGGACAAGTGTTCGAACTCTGCTCAAAACAAATATACGATTGCTACGACCGATATATTTGTCTACATACATATCATATTGAGGTCTTCAAGGGCGAGGGTACCGCGCATACAATATGATGTCACTTAATAAAGGCACGAACCTATGAACACCGATTCCTCATCAATTTAGCTCGGCTGAGTTACAAAGGTTCAAGCTACAAAAGAATGACCCAAAGCTTACACCCCGATGATGGCCGTGTTGAATGCAGATCTCAACCAGGCAGGCTTCC